GGGTTACACTGCACCCATGGGTGTGCCACCTAAAGTGCAGCCTGTGTTTGTTAGCTCTACCTAAAGAATCACTGGGTTACACTGCACCCACCTACCTAAAGAATCACTGGCTTACACTGTACTCACGGACGTTTGCCTCGCGCTCTCTTGAAAGACAAAAAAAGCTAAAGTCTGTTTGGCCAAAAATCAAGCTTTGTTTCCCCTAAAAATTTGACACCATATTAGGGCCCCGAAAGACGTTAAAAGTTCCTCCATAATAGAAGAGTGTTTCAGTAATTTTGAAAATAATACAATGAAACTAGCATAGGAACTGTGCTTCTATTCAACAGGTTTAAATTTTGAAATTTGCCTTCAGGCCTGAAAGGTTTTTGGGGCCTTTCGAGAAACGTGCCCCATTACACTTTATTCAAATAAATAAGGTAATTCTGTAATCAAATGTGTATCATTTAGATAATCTTGGTGTGCTTTAATTAGTCGAAAACTGTAACTGTAATTGGCCTGGTGGAATTAATGCACAATAATTTTATTCAAAATCTTGTATATTATCTTGTATTAATACATGAAAAAAGTTATATTTACCTTCTCTGTCACATTCCTTGTCCCCAAGAGCAGCTTCCATCTCCCCCATGATGTTAAGGATGACCTTGTCCTTGCTACCTGCAGCGTACTTTAAGATACGCTGCTGCCACATCTGGTACTTTTCCCTAACTTTTGTGGGGATGTCGTTGTCATCAAAGATGCGGCATAATTCAGCTTTAAGCTTTGAAAAAGTCAAACAGGAGACATCATGTTACACAGTGTTTTTGACAATGGTGTATTACTTGGAACATTAGAGAGAGGAATGTACATGTTCTTGATCAGTCTCCCATTTATTTATCCCCTAATTTTATGCATAATTTAATTACATGACCGGCCAGAAATGATACGTGACTGAGCTGGTCACTGTGTCTGGAGACTCTCCAGGAATTATTTCTAGCCCTGTAAACTAGTCCTGAGTTTTGTTCAACATTTAAATCTACCCAAATGAAAACCAACCAGTTTGTACTTAACTTTAATATAGGAGTAAGTGTTAAACAATAATCTCAAAGGAAACAAGGAGGGTGGAGCATGTGTGTGTAGGGGGGGCCAGCTCTTAAACGTACTAGAGAAATGGAGTTGTAGCACCTACAAATCCCACACACAGTACATGTTTTTCTTCCAATAGGTAAACTATAGTAACTCAAGTGTTTTATAACTCACAGCAAAAAATAGTATTAGCCAAACATGGACATGAAATTTAAACCTTGCAGACAGAAACAAATTAACCAGATACTTACATGGGTGAAATTTGTAAGTGAGGGGTATTCCTTAAGCACATCTTTCACCAATTTAGGTGCCGTCAAGATGTCACGGCGGCGAAGGGCAGATGTTTTGTCCATAAACTCCTTATGGAGTTTATGTTTTTTAGGATTTTTCTTGATCTCGTCAAGATTTTCGTTGGCATTCGTCCTTAAGGAGTCCACTGACTCCCCCTCAGGCAAATCTGGCACTGCTGACCAAGTGTGTGTCTTTGTTTTTTGCTTTTTTGGCTTAGGGTCACTTTGACTGTCCCTAGTTCCTGCGAGGCGTTTCGGCTTCTGTATTTTCTTCATGCGATTGAATATTTTCAATTCTAGTAGTTATAGAAATGGGTATTGTGACGCACTTTTCGAATTCCCAGAATTTCATTAAATTAAATAATAAAATCCCAGAATATGCAAGGGACTACAAAAAAGAATACCTTTTTATTATAGGAATAAATAAACAATTAAAGTATTTTGCTGAGCATATTAATGAGGCACCTACTGGCTTATTTGAGAATTACAGAGTTGATAGAATTAAGTATTTTATAAAAAGATTTTTAAAAGGTCAAGAAAGGGGTAAACTTAAAGATACTAGTAATTTTGAGATTTATAATATTGATGTTAAAAACTTAATTAAGATTAAAAAGAATTTTCTTAATTTTAATCAATATGTTACCGGTAATTATTGTTATGATGAAGATGATGATGATCCTTTTTTTAATTCTTACCATGGTTTTAAAAATATTTTTGATGATTTTGAATTATTTTTTAGTAAGTTTAAAATTAAATACAAAGAATTTATTTATGTTAGTGATAGTGTTTTTTGTTACAAGTTTTAAAATGGTTTAAAAGAAAAAAAATTTAAATTAAAAAAATGGATAATAATTTTCAACAAATTTTTACAATTCATTTTCCTGGAAGAAGAGTTTATATTGAACACACTTTTAAAACATTAGAGGAAAAAATGAAAGAAATTAAAAAAGATAAAGATCATAGATTATTTACTATGTTAAAAGAATACCCAAATCCAGAAATACGATTTGAGTGTTATAGAGACCAAAGTTATAATGAAAAGTTAGTAGCTTCAAGTTAAAAAAAATTATCATAAAATACTTAACTAGTTCAAACAATATATAAAATGGAAGATTTATTAAAACAATTTGAAGATATGGGTTGTAAAGTTGTCGTTGGATGGAAAGAGAAAGAAAGAAAAAAAACTATGCGTGAAGCAATGAAAAAATTAAAAGAGAGTAATGATGAGAAAAAGATTAAATTAGCAAAAAGATTAGCTAGGTATTATGGTATTTTTCATAATATTGGTTATATAACAACAAATCCTGATTTTCCTTTTGAAGAAGATAAGTATGGCCTGCATTATATTTTTTCTTATTTAGAGGGTTTTGTTGATACTGCAAAGATAAGTATTGCTGGTGTTATTAAAGCTCTTGGAAATGATGAGCAAATAGATCCTTTTTGTAAATATCTTATGTTTACTCATATGTATACTCCAGAGCAAGTAAAAGAAATAGGACATGAAGAAATATATAAAAGGGAAAAAAAGTTTGAAGAAGATGAATTAATTAGAAATACGGGGTTTTTAGCAAAAGAATTAGTATAAACAACTAATATATAGATTTAGCCAGGGCTAAAAGCGAAGCTCTCTTTAATATTTATGGATTCCTCAAAAAAAAAATATAAAATCGATGAATACTAAAGACAAGTTGAAAGCAACGAAAACGCTAAAAACAACAACAATAGATCTAATTAGCAAAAAAACAACTTTGCACGTGCAGCACACTGTTTTTCTAATTAGCAAAAAAACAACTCTGCACGTGCAGCAGTTTTTTTTTTGTACATTTCCTTACCGTTGTTTTACACGACTAACGTGAAACTTCTTTTAGCTTCCTATTTACGCGTTTTATGGAGGAAATGTTTGTGTTCCTGTTCATTCTATTTTTTCACTGCCGCTGCTTTTTCACATTAGTAGCCGCTAGCATTCTTCATTTTCTAACCGCCGCTATATAATTTTCATGTTTTTCTTCCAGCGGCATTAGTCTCCGTTGTTATTTATTTCACGGTCCTGACAAGTGTGACACTTAACATCGGCTTACATGAAGTGTGTGTACGGGTGGGCGGGCGTACGCTACGTCATAACCAAATTTTATCGGATGGATAGTTTACCAAATTTTCTTACCCATGGTGCTCCGCTGGCGCGCTTCGCGCGCGAGAGCTCCGCTAATAAAAATGGAACCAAGATCAAGAGAAACTACTCCTACAAAAGAGGATTTGGATTTTATAGTTGATGATGGTTGTAGGCATGATGTGGATCCAGATTATGTTCCAAACGAAAAGTATCTTGTTAGTGGAAAAGAGTTTAAAAAGTTAACACGAAATGCTAAAAAACTTGGTGCTGAATCGCTTGATTATTCAACACGAAAAAATAATAAATACATGGCCACTCTTTCAAGTGGAAAAAAAGTACATTTTGGATCGCCAAAATATCCAGATTACCTTATTCACCAGGACAAAGATAGACGAGATAAATATCTTTCTAGAGCTACAAAGATAAAAAATAAACAGGGAGAGTTAACTTATAATAACCCCGAATCAGCAAACGTTTGGTCAATTAATTTACTTTGGCCTAAAAAGTAATTTAAAAGAATAAAAAATATAATAAAATGAGTTCAAATGGTAATGTTGGTTCAAATAGTCTATCCAATGATATTGATTTAAATCATAAAGATATTATTAATTTAGGTTGTGAACAAGATATTAATTTTAAAAAAGAACTTATAAACGTTTGAGAAGAAGGATTAAAAGAAATTTCAGAAAGATTATATTTTATAGAAGTCACAATTGAAAATAAATTATTGCTTAAAGATTAAATTATTATAATAAAAAATGCATTTGTCCAGCTACGAAAATATTACTCAAGACAATATTATCTTTAATCAAGCCAAAGAATACAAAGTCAAAGATAGCAATATCAAATACAAACGTATCCCAATTGAAGTTAAATATCAAAATGGAAAGAAAGGACCACTTGTAGTTGAATCTCCAGTTCTTTTCAGCTTTGGTGTTAATGAGAAGAAAAATCAAGATACAAATAAGTTAATTGGTTATAGTATACCAGTATGTCTTTGGAGTAAAGATAGTGCCCCAAATCCTAAAGAACTATCATTTTTTGAAACCCTAAAAAATGTTGTTTCATTGTGTCAAAGTCATTTAGAAAATGAATATGGTGCAGATTTAGCATCATCTCTGTCTTCACCATTTTATTACAAACAAATAGAATACACAGATAAGAAAGGAAAAAAGAAAACAAAAGTTGATGAATCATCCGCACCAGTTCTCTACGCAAAACTTATTTACTCAGAAAAATCAAAGAAAATATTATCTTTGTTTAAGGGAAAAGGAGGTAAGGATTTAAATCCTTTTAAATATATTAACCAGTACTGCAATGTTAAATTGGCATTGATAATTGAAGGAATCTTTGTAAGTAAGACTGTTACATCTTTACAAATAAAAGTACATGAGTGCTATGTCAAACCATTAAAACCTAGAGAGACTTTACTAAAAATTGATGAGGAAGATAGTGAAAGTGAAGATAGTGAAAGTGAAGGGATAACTGATCAATTACTTGAAGGCTTATTTATCTCTGATAAAGAAAATGAGTAGATAATAGGATTTTATTTTTAATACAAAATTTGTATTAAAAATCAACCAAATCCTTAGAACTTATCCATGAGTTAAATTTATCAGGATAACCACTCCATTTCACTAATGCCATTTTTTTCTTATTATCTCGTCTGATAATCTTTTCTATTCTAAATGTTTGCTGTTTTGCTTTCTGTAATTCTTGCTCGTAGAAAGAACCCTTAATCTCTTCTCCCATCAAGTCAACGATGTTATATGTAACAGGTTTTGTAGGTAAAACTTTGTCAATTACAAATATTTCCTCTGTCCAATTTGGTGTGTAACCTTTATCAAATACCTTCCTCTTATACTTGGAAATTCTAACATGATCACCAATTGTAAACTTTGATTTATTAGGTTTTAAGTAAATAGAATCACCATACAAATTAGACCAAACTTTACTTTTATTTTTCTTTTTACTTGCTTCAACAGGAGTCATTTTTATACTAGAATGTCTTGAATTATTGTAATCATTAACTAGTTTATTTATCTTGTTCCAGTAAACAGTGTTGTTATTTATAGTAAACATCTTCCACATTCTGTTTTTCATTGTTTTATTCCATCTCTCAACAACACTAGATTTCATCAATCCCGTTTGAGACTACTAATCTCTTTTGAAAGTTTCGTGTGATTGGTTTGTGAAGTTCGTCGGCTAATTGTTGAGACCAATCACTTCTCAACGCCGACGCGCTTTTAAACCAAGTCCAAGTTTTTGTTTTGTATTTATCATAGTTCTAGCAAGAAAGTGACCCCATTGTCTTTTTTTCCAAGGAATTGCATCTGGTGATTTTACCATTTTTTTATCTGCAGTATGTTTGCATTTTAATTGTTCACTTTTGGGGAGGTTTCCACAAACTGTGTAATCGACATCATGTTGCATACTAACCGCATCTGTTGGTCCTGTAGGTTGTTGATAGATTTCTAATAGATTTCCCTCAGAGTCATGGCGAAGTTGGTCCTCAAGAGGATTTCCAGGTCCAGTATAATTATGGCCTGGTATAGTTAATCCTCCATAAGGTGCAACTTTTAGTATTTGTTTGTGGATGTCAACTTCTCGTCCTGATCGACCGTCTAAATCCTTTTTATCGGTTTTATACTTTTTCTTTGGTCTCACTTTTGTTGATAGTTCATCCATTGCTGTTCCAATAGAATCTTGAATAAATGGAGTGAGTTTATTAATCCCATAATTTACAGCTTTATTTTGAATATTTTTATTTCTCATTAATTCACTTGCTCCATATCGCCCCATTTCAACTGCTTTTTTACCCATCCAAGGTAAACCGTAATTAACAAAACCATCAACTGCTGTACCAACTACAGTATCAAAGACGCCCGCCCCTTTAGACGGGCTGATTAGTTTTTTGACTTCTTTTTTGTTTTTCTCTTTTTACCACTTCCAGTTTGAGAAGCTGATCCAGTTTTTACATATCTAACTTTTTTATTTCCACAAACTGCACATCTAAAAAAGAATTGAGTTCTACCTCTTTTATCAGTTTGGTAACCACTTGGCTCTGTACAAGGAGTTACTCTTTTATCTACAATGCAATATGATTCTTTCATTTAATATAATGTTTAGATAAAAATATGTCTACTAGATCTAATTTTCTGAAAAGTGAACTTCAAAAGATATACAATAACTTAAACATGAGTTATGAATACGCTGACTTTTCTAGATTGGAAAATGATTCTAGATTTATAAAAATATTTGAGTTGCTTATGGAAATAAGTGAGAAATCAAATACACTTAATAAAGTTGTAAAAGGAAATTATCTGTTTATATAGTAAATGGAAGCCAAATTCTTTTCTGAGATAGAGAAAAAGATGGATGTCAAAACACTCAAAGATTTTGAAAAAGAAGTAAGAACAAAAATATATAATGAGTTGGAAATTCTTAGAAAGAAAAATGATAATCTTTCTAGAATACTAATTGCAGGTGAAAGTAATATGTGGAAAAAAATCAGAAATGAGGAATATTCTTGGTTGCAGATAAATAGTGATAAAAAGAAGAAACTTTATCGTCTTATTGACATTTACTTAAACTTTGTTGACATAGTTGAAAGTGTTAAAGATCTAAATACAAAAGTTGATAGGGTTAAGCAACTAAAGGATGCACCGGTGGATTCAGACTAAATATAAAATTTATATTTAGTCTTAAGAGAAGTATGCCTTTATAAAATCACTGTTGTCATTATCGAAATGTGGGTTATGTATTATGTTTAGAATACTATTATCCCGTTGTCGCTCATAGAGATAATATAAACACCAATATCCGCATAGAACAGTGTTGCGATTTTGTATTTCATCCATTGAGTAAACTATACGTTTTCCAGAAGTATGAAAATACTCTAATGCTTCATTTGGCATTATTAGTCCAAATGGATCGAACTACTCAACCACACCACTCCAAGCAGCAGGGGGGTTTTGGGGGGAGGCACTTCCCCCATCTATATTTCTGTAACAAACCCAATGTGTTCCAGGACCTTGAATATCGTCTAGATGGATTATTCCGCATTCTTTTCTTATCTTTTTTGGTAGACCATCACGACTATATATTCCTCTAAAATGTTTAATACCAAGTCTTTTTATCCAATCCATGAGGTCAAAGTTGGATAGAGGTTTAATTACAAAATGGTTCCTAGAATGGGAATTGAGTTGAAAGGGCTGTTTTTTCCAAGAAGAAGACCTTTTCCTTTGGATTTGGACTTTTTTTTTTAACTGCCATTCCAATTGCATTTTCCCATGTACCAAAAAAGGGTGGTGATCTATAAGGATAACCTTCACCACTTTTTGGAGGAGGATTTGGAACGTAAACATTTGCTGTATTAGATGATCCACGTCTATCAACCTGTAGTCCCCCTCCAAACATCTTAGATACTAAACTAATTGCCATTGGAATACCAATAGAAGCAAGAGTTCCAAGAAATCCTCCTTCTATTTGTTTACGAGTTGGTTTTATAACCAGTCGTCCACCTGATTGATAAGATTTGTTTAATAGATCTATTTGTGATTTGGTTAATTCTCCTCTAATAGCTGGTAACAATGGGATAAACTTTTTTGGAATTGAAATTCCTTTTCCAAATATTTTAATTAGACCAATTTCTCCAAGTGCAGTAGCAGCACCAGTTGCCAATGCAGGAACAGCTTTTGAAATTCCTTTTATTGCGTAAGGTAATACTTTTGCTCCAATAGAAGCAAGTGATGAAAATAAGTTTCCTCCATGTTTTACAGATTTTCTAATTTGAGTTTTACTTATCTTTATATCTGATCCTGTTCCATTTACAATAGACTTTTTTATTTTAGTAATTTGTCTTTGGGTTAGCATTAACTCATCAGAACCTTGAAGATGAGAATGTTTTAACCGAAGAGTTAGTGGTGATTTATTTCTGATTGTAGAAGCCAGTTTAGACTTTTGCCCATCTGTAAGTTTTACTCCGTATTCAAAATAAGTTGACATTTTTTTATTATAATATTTATATTAAATTTATTTCACTTAATCTTTTCTTCTTTGGTTTATTGTAATTTCACCCATTTGGTGGGTTATATAATTAGATTTGAAGATAAAATCTAATTATAGAAAATTGTATTGTCTTTAGAACCTTCTAGAAGGTTATTGTTTTATATCACGAGATTATCGTGTGATTTTTTCAACCAATCAAATGATTACACAAAATTTTCTACAACTTGTATAAAATTTTGTGCATCTTTAACAACTTGTGTAAAATTCGTAATGAAAAGCTAGTTTTGTTACTCCATCTTTTATATCCATTTTTTGTTTTGTTAGGTCAAAATAAACAAAAGGAAACAAAGACTCAAAATTTGTTCTATTGAGAAGTGTTCCACCTTGAAAGTCGTTGTTTGCGTAAACATAACCCATTACTTCTCGAAACACTCTTGCCGGATCTGTAGCTGGTTTAAAGTGAATATCAGGATATTCATTTCCATTTCCAACCTCAAGATAACAGCGAGATACATTAGCATTGTTTGGTAGATTAAAAGTGTTGTATAAAAATGGATTTGCTGTTTGAGAATCAATATTAGCTGTGTTAATCGCAAAAACAAAGACACGGCGAGGTTTTGAGATAGCATTTGTAATTCTAAAATGACCTGTTTGCTGTTGAGTGTTATTTGATCGCTCTACTACTTCATTAAGATAAGTCCATTTGTAGGGTTTGAGATAATTTTTCAGGTATAATTCTTGTCCTTTTGAGTTAAATGTTATTCTTGGTACAAATAGTTGAAATCTTGTTAGTACAACTCTACAAGCATTTCCACCAGTTCGCCAGATAAGATTATTATCTGATTCTAGTACAATATTTAATGCAATTTTTGTATTTGGAAGAAGTGTATCTTCTAATGATTCAAATAAAGAATATCTGTTTAGGGGAATATCACTACTAATTGTTGTTGAGTTGCCTATTAGTGTTCTTCTTATTGCAAAACCTTTGTTGTAAGTATTACTATCTCCATCAACTAAATTTGCTCTTTCCTCAGCAGTATTACCAGCATTTCTTACGTGCTGAACATTTCTTGTTGAGTACTTCACTCTATCTGCATTTCTTGACGTATCAAGATAGTAAAATTCATTTGTAGCAACACTCTCAACATAGGAAGGATTATATTCAAGCAAATTTTTAATATTTACTACATGATTAGCATAGTTGCAGCTGTAAATATCTCTACCATTTGCTAGAATGGTTAACTTTTCAATTAAACTACTTGAACCATTTACTATTCCCGCTTGGGGGTTATTATTGTTAAAATCATTTCCATCTAACAGTTGAACTTTAAAATCTACTGACAATCGCGCGTTATACCAATCAAATGGAGTGGCCTCACCTGTATTATCAGCAACAAATCTATTACCTGTTTTAGTTTGGTGAGCATTATTAGCAGGCGTGGCTTAAGTCTGTTCAAGATCAAAAACAACATCTTCATATCTTTCTAAATATTCTGGATTTCTAAATGACTTCATTTTTATTTTA